ATCTGACCACACATATACTTGGGATGCAGGTACGTCCGGCTGACGAGTCTCAAATAAGACGAAACGCATGTGCTGAATTCCACTTCTAGCCACTATCCATCTTTGCTTAGAGTAATTTTGTGACCTGTTCCAACTACGTGTTTATCAATAGCGGATGATGGATGTTTATCCTCTACTATTATTGGGTCATTTGATTTTATTTGTTTCTGCAGCTATTAAGGTACATGTTCACACACCCTGATTTGAAGATCACGATTACTCCTCCCCATGTGTGTGTGGCCACATGCATTTAGATTGGTAAACACAGTGGGATGTGACGCAATCATTTTCCTGTCTTTTAGGTTTTCGATGAAGCATGGACCTTGTTCCTTCGTTGATATTGACCTTTGCTGCGTAATACTTCCTGCTAATTGCTGATTTGAGACATTGTTCAAACAAAAGGCAATTTTGAATCACCTCGAAATGGTAAGGTGATGCAGACAGGCTTTTTTTCTGCCAAGGCTATAGCAGGTTTCACTGTACCATGAACTTCCCATCTATTTATGGATATAAGTTTATAACCATTTTCCATTATTGTTTTGTTTAACAATCTAACATCATCATCATCATCATCATCATCATCATCATCATCATCATCATCATCATCATCATCATCATCATCATCATCATCATCATCATCATCATCATCATCATCATCATCATCATCATCATCATCATCATCATCATCATCATCATCATCATCATCATCATCATCATCATCATCATCATCATCATCATCATCATCATCATCATCATCATCATCATCATCATCATCATCATCATCATCATCATCATCATCATCATCATCATCATCATCATCATCATCATCATCATCATCATCATCATCATCATCATCATCATCATCATCATCATCATCATCATCATCATCATCATCATCATCATCATCATCATCATCATCATCATCATCATCATCATCATCATCATCATCATCATCATCATCATCATCATCATCATCATCATCATCATCATCATCATCATCATCATCATCATCATCATCATCATCATCATCATCATCATCATCATCATCATCATCATCATCATCATCATCATCATCATCATCATCATCATCATCATCATCATCATCATCATCATCATCATCATCATCATCATCATCATCATCATCATCATCATCATCATCATCATCATCATCATCATCATCATCATCATCATCATCATCATCATCATCATCATCATCATCATCATCATCATCATCATCATCATCATCATCATCATCATCATCATCATCATCATCATCATCATCATCATCATCATCATCATCATCATCATCATCATCATCATCATCATCATCATCATCATCATCATCATCATCATCATCATCATCATCATCATCATCATCATCATCATCATCATCATCATCATCATCATCATCATCATCATCATCATCATCATCATCATCATCATCATCATCATAATCATCATCATCATCATCATCATCATCATCATCATCATCATCATCATCATCATCATCATCATCATCATCATCATCATCATCATTGCACAGGGCGATATCTATAATAATTATGGTATTGACCTGCCCACGGTAGTTCTCTAAAAATGGATCTTTTGATTGATCCATCTTCTCGTCTACTTAGAAGTATATCTAGGAGGGGAAGCTGGTTGTTCTTCTCCTGTTTGCATGAGAGACTGATGTGGTTTTGGAGAGTTTTAAGTTTATTCAATAAACAATTCATATCCTCCTTTCTTTCCCAGATAACTAATATATCGTCCACATATATCTTATAAAGTGACATGTTTTCGATTAAATCTTCAGCTGGATTCTCAACATGTGCCATAAACATATTAACTAATAATGGTCCTAACGGACTAACAATAGCAACCCCCGTCGATCTGGCGAAAGTATTCACCTTCAAATATGAACTGGACTTCGTCAGTAAATAATAATAGTAAATCTTTAAGAATTTTTAAAAGAACAGGTATTTTAAGCTTGTTTAAAGATATGTGGTCACATAATATATCAATAGTAATTTTCAAAGGTACATTTGTAAACAAGGAATTCACGTCAAACGAACACATTATCTTTCCCTTGATATTAATATCACCTAAATGTTTGACCAGTTAGAAAGATTCTTTCACAAAATACTTACATAATCGTGTTCGGATAGGATCCAGTAATTTAGCTGGGTTATTTGTAGGTGATCGATACAGTGATAAAATTGATAGTAAACGAATGTTTGGTTGGTGAATTGTAGGTAATCCATGTAAATAAGGATACTCAGAAACAATACGTTTGAGAAATTTAAATTCCTTTCTACCAATGATATTCGTGTGCAGCAGTTTTACTAGGTTTGAATTTATTCTTACCTCTAGTTTGCTAATACCTCCAAATTCGGCATCAGGCATAAATTTACTGTCATCACTGAGGTTGGATAATATTTTATTTTTATATTCACATTTGTTTATGATAACTCTGCCTGATCTTTTATCAGGTTTCAACAAGCCAATATCAGGGTTTTTTCGTACTTCTTTTAGTGATTTAAAATGCTGAGAAGTTAATATGCTTCTCTGCTTCGGTTCACGATTAAGAAATTGGTACATTATATCCACCAATTTAGTTTTACCCCAGCTTTGATTATTAAAAGAGGTAGGGGTTAGCGTACTTAGTTTGTGGTGTGTGCTACTTATATTGACATAAGTTGTAGATGATGTTAGTCGTGAACAGAAGGTCTGGCAGCTGAGAGACAAGAGGATCGAACAGTGAAGAATGGAGACAGAATGCAATTTGTATGAAAATGCAAGAACAATGAAGTCTGAGTTATTATGAGACAAATGATGGACATTTTGCAAATTACGTATTTACTGTTTGATTGTTAGATTTTATTAACAAGTCCTGTAATTCTGTTTTAAATATATTCGATTGTCCCTACCCGTGTTCTGTTCACTACAAGTTGGTCATAAAGATTTTCAAATTCACCATTTATCTCCAATTCAAACATTTACGTTATAGGGATAGAGAAATTAAAACCAAGAGAAGGCGTTTCGTTTTCACTAGCGATAATACAATGGAAGATAAATTAGTGATATACTTATTAATATTACTGCAAGATTGTTGAAGCTTTTTTCCTATCCTTTCCTTTGTTTTGAAAATGACCATACTGCAATAGTTGATAAATTTAATATGGCAGACTATAGATATTCCTGTTAATATAGACAATGCTTAAGTGTGTAATTCCATTAAACTGATCAGTCTATCTTAGCAATTATCTACATAAGATTTCGACAGTCGAACGAGATTTGAAATATTCGGTTGTGTTTTACTTGAACATCAATTCCTATAAAGTTGATTTGGGAATATGTAACTCGACAAACAAGATTTATAAACACTCAGTTTCACTCGTTCCGATACAATTTTGCACTTAAGGTTGACAAGTTCATCTAACCTTTTAATATGATGTGTAAGGAGTCTTCTTTTAAGAAATTTGAAGCAATTAGTCCCTTTGATAAATTTCAATAGCGTAATAAGACGACAAACAACTATGTGATATATTAGCTCAATACATTTCGAACAATCTGATCATACATTATTTACTTGTTAAGAACATTTATATATAAAAATAAAAGGCCAACTAGACTAGAAACGGAGGATAGGATCGCAATGCAGCATTTGGTTGGCAACAGTAGACTATCATTCAATTACACATCAGAATATTGTCTGTTTTCATTAAACCTGTAGTTTAAAATGTTCAATTATCAGTGGATTATGAACTTAGGTGTATATCAAGTGTAAACACTTCGAAACGTTTTTGGTTAAAGTTTGAAAATATCGTTAATTGGTTAAACTAGAATTGATTGTTACTAGTTTAAGATAGATATTATGTGCTTAGAATTCCTTCACAAAGTGATTTTAAAAGATACAAATTAAGGCAAGCGTCTCTATTTAGATTGTAAACTATTTTAGAAATCTTACTTTACAGAATTTCAAGTTAATAACTGATGTTTCTTTGAAAAGAGCAAGAACAAACATTCTGGCAGAATAGCATGAATTCATTTTTATTTCGTTGGTTCTCGTCAGCTGCTTACAACCTGTGATATTTAAAATCATAATTAATGGGTTTAAATTACTTACATAAAAGAGTTTGATTGGAAGTTGTATTAAAGACATATTCATATAGTATAGCAAGGGCGTAAATAAATTTGATAGACTGAATATTGTAAATATATACCTTATGTGATGAAGGAACATTGTGACAACAGTTCAAAGGGTTAGAAACAAATAAACCTTGATAGGAATAAAATGAGTAGAGTTCAGTTGATAAAATAAAATAGTTGGAATAAAACTCAATGGTGTAATAAATGCAAGAAAGAGTTTAAAGAAAAAGAAGAAAAAATTTAAAAAAATTATTAGGATATAACGAAGGAATATTAATCACCAAGGCAAGGAAAGATTAATAACCATCTCCCTTTGAACACATAAATCAGGCTTTTGGCGCCTGATAGCAACTGCTTCAGCAAACTTCAGAAGACTGGAGTTTGGCTGATTACTAATCACCTTGAATGATTGTAGGGTATCGACCTGATGTCCTGTATCAAGAAGATGTTTGGTGATTGCACTATTTAGAGTCTTTCTTTCTCTTGTTCTGAGGATTTTTGGAACATGTTCAAAAAATCTGAGATATGCCCTCCTTTCTGTTCGGCTAATGTAGCTGCTTTGGCAGGTACACGTAAATTTATAAATACAATTGGCGGTAACACGAAAAGGATGCTTATCAACTTTTGATTGAGTTATTGAGCATGTTGTTTTATACAGAATTTGAAGTTTGGCCGCCAGATAAGTTCTGGCTAGCGCAGTATTCAGTCTCCTGTTGATTGTGTTTGCAACCTCGTCACCTTTGAAGTTAAGACTTATAGTTATTGGTTTTTTATTGATAGTAATTACTTCAGTATTGTTTTCTTTACGCTTCTTATACTTGTCAATAAACTTTTGTGGGTAAAAGTTGTCTCGCAGGCATTTTTCCACTTTCATCAATTCTTCTTCGAGTTTGTCAGTGGTATATATCTTTTCTGCCCTATAAAATAGTGTTTTAACTAATGCCTTCTTGTAACTGAGTGGACAAAAGCTATTGAAATTCAGGTAAATGCCATTCCAAGTACTTTTTCGATAAATCGAACGTTGGACTGTCCCGTCTCTCCTACGTTTTATAGCAACATCAAGTGGAACATGTCATTCTGTTCGTGTTCCATAGTAAATTGTATGTTAGGATGAGCGTTATTGAAGTGTTTTAGCATGCGGATTGCATGCTGTTTATTGTTACAGACAATAAACGTGTCATCAACATATCTGGAATATTCCGTCGTTTCGCTAATCGTCTGTTTAAGCACCATGTTTTCAAGATACCCCATAAAAATATCTGCCAGAATTGGACCTAGTGGGCTTCCCATTGCTACGCCATCGATCTGACGAT